AAGTATTCCAAAAGTTGTCTTCGTATTTTTTACTTAATGCTGGGTTTTCAAAGATATTAAATGAAAAACTGCCTTCTAGTCAATATTAAGCTTGTAAAGAGTAGGAAGTAGTTTTTATGCTTATGTAAAAATTTAGCCAATTAACATTGTATCTTTGTCATATTGCATTTCTTTGTAGTCTTGGAAGGAATTGAGAATCCCTGTGTGATAGACTTTGCTACTTGTAAAATGGACTATCAAAAGGAAAGTTCTTTCTACTTCATTTTGAAAAATGCCTAAGGTCCTCATAATTTTCATTTTTATTTAATCAGTTTTAAAATTGTCAACTCAGGCTTATTTTCACAACCCTTTACTTTTTACTGAAAGTTGAAGTGGGAATTGGCAGAAGATTCAGAAAAAAAGAGGAACTATATTCTATTTGCCCTTAATAATTTACCCTATAGGCCAGGCACAGCTGCTCATGCCTGTAATCCCAGCACTTTGGGAGGCTGAGGCAGGATGATTGCTTGAGCCCAGGACTTTGTGACCAGACTGGACAGCATGGCAAGACCCTATCTCTGTAAAAAAATTTTAAAATTAGCCAAGCGTGGTGACATGCACCTGTGGTCCCAGCCACTCTGGAGGCTGAGGTGGGAGGATCACTTGAACCCAGGAGGTTGAGGCCGCAGTGAGCCTTGTTTGCACCACTGCACTCCAGTCTGGGCAACAGAATGAGACCCTGTCTCAAAAAAAGGAAAAAAAAGAAAATTACCCTATTCAAGAGTCTATGATTAGCATCTTAGCACCCACCATATGATGTTTTTCTTCTCTATAATTTTTCATATATATTATCTACTGTGACTTCTCCTCTTTTTTAATGTCCATAAAAATGTTTCAATCCAGCTTTTATTTAATTTAATTAATTTATTTATTTTGGAGACAGAGGCTGGCTCTTTTGCCTAGGCTGGAGTGCAGTAACACAGTCTCAGCTCACTGCAACCTCTGCCTCCTGGTTTCATGCAATTCTCCTGCCTCAGCCTCCTGAGTGGCTGGGACTACAGGTGCACACCACCACCCCTGGCTAATTTTTCTTATTTTAGTAGAGATAGGGTTTCACATGTTGCCCAAGCTGATCTCGAACTTTTGAGCTCAGGCAATCTACCCGCCGTGGCCTCCCAAAGTGCTGGGATTACAGGCGTGAGCCACCACGCCCGGCCTCAACCCAACTTTTAAACATTAAGTGCCACTGATTTAAAAGTTCTGACCTGAGGCCAGGCGTGGTGGCTCACTTCTGTAATCCCAGCACTTTGAGAGGCCGAGGGGTGGATCATGAGGTCAGGAGTTTGAGACCAGCTTGTCCGATATGGTGAAACCCCTTCTGTACTAAAAATGCAAAAATTAGCCGGCATGGTGGCGTGCGCCTATAGTCTCAGGTACTCAGGTGGCTGAGACAGCAGAATCGCTTGAACGCAGGAGGCGGTGGTTGCAGTGAACGGAGATTGCCCCACTGCACTCCAGCCTGGGCAACAACGTGAGACTCTGTCTCAAAAAAAAAAAAAAGTTCCTACTTGTAAAATATTCCTCCTTTTTCAGTTATAAGGCAGTATAAGTGCAGTAGTCTCTGTTGCTAACACACTGGGGGACTTTTGCTGGAGAGAAGTTGGCCCCTGACTAGATGCATATGGGTTGAGTTCATCTATGTTTCTCTTAGTTTACCTTATCTTTAGAAAGAATAATCAGATATCTCATTAGATAAATCATATATGATTAACGTATGATTAGTCAGATAAAAGGAATCCGGATGTACTTCGAAGAAACTAATGAAAAGATGGTACATGTGGGGGCCTAGAGGAATAAGCATAAAGGAATTAGGATCGTTCTGTATGATTACTTTCTTTTTGTGTAAAAGATGTAAAAATAAAGGTCCTTGACATTTAAAAATATTGAATGGAATATGGGGTTTTTCCATTGGAATTTTCTAATGTTTTGCAGCAATTTTTTCCAGCAGCAATTTAGACATTTAAGGAAAATGTTTTTTTCACAATGTGCCATGTTTTCGGGTCAGTGAGAAAGCCTTAACCAAGACTATTGTTTGGCAGTACTGTTTATAATAACTCCAGATCCTTGACCAAATTTGGAGAGTCACTTATGGCCATTTGAAACCAAACGAAGGATTAAAGGACTAATGATTCTGAATACCTCCAGTGTTTTCCCCAAGCTTGAGAAGAGTTTCATTCAGCTATAAAATGCTCACTGTGCACATGAGTGGTTTTCCTGCTGTATAATTAAAGCATTGCCTTTAATAATATTTTGTTACCTTTACCTTAGCTTGTCTTTTTAATTTGAGGAAAATTTAAAAACCTAAACAATTAAAAGTAAGATATGATAAAGACAGTTTTTCAGAGGAGAGAAGGGCAGATTTCTATGTTTATTCCACTTAATATCTATATCAAATATTTGTAACAAAAGCAGAGTCTCACTATAAAATTATTCTTCTAGGGGCAAGATTCTTTTCCCTAAATTGACAGTACAAAGCTCACATAGTAATAACTGCTGTTAAAATAGACACTAAGAACTAAAGAGCTAACGCTTAGGTTCCAAATTAAGGGAAGCTGCCGTTTTCTGAAATAATGTGTCTTTTTTAAAAGGACCAGTTCCTTTTTGCCTTTTTCTGTCCTTCCTCCCTTCCTTCCTGTTGCTCCATGTATGTTGTGCATGTGGTTATCTGTCCTTTTTTTTTTTTTTTTTCCTCTACCCCTTATGTTTGCAAGATAAATGTGCCAGCGGGAGATGATACAACAACCGAGTTCATTATTCCAGTCTTATTGCTTTCTAGAAGTATAAGCAAGTTACTTATCTAGACCTCTGTTTGCTCTTATGTTAAATGGGGATTAAAGCCCCCTTGCAGGCTTGTTTGTTATGAGAATAGTGATAAAGTATATTCAGTACCTATCACAGTGCCTGGCCCTAAGTGGGCTGTTGAGAAGTGATAGCTATTTTTATTAATGATAGCCTATCCCATTATAGCTGTCAGCATCATTATCTGTTGAGCCGGGATCTCAGGAGAGTATCTTGAAGATATTATTGGACTCCACTATTCAGCATTATCTAATCTGAAGATCCTTTTGTTTGGCTGCATTTTGTTCTACTTAGCCATTCTGGATTGTTTTAAGCTGGAGTCATTGATTTTTGCAGGCAATTATTTCCCCATTTAAAGGGTATAGTCCCACTTCATTCATTTGAAATGAGGTCAGTTACCAAACTGCTGAACTCTTCTGGCCTTTTGTGATGGGCCTTTCTCTCTTTCGTTTCTTGGCCTTAGGCTGATAAATCAAAGATCTCAGGTGAGAGAGGAATTTCTGGCAGTCATACTCTATAAGTATTGGGCATGTTGCTTAAGCAGTATTTCCATTATTGGAATTCTCCTTTTTTCCTTTAAATCTTAGCCTCCCTGCTCCTTAATATGTTACTTTACTCACAAAATAGGAAGAAAAAAATAGCTTTAATATAGCCTCTTAAGTAACAAATATTTAAAGGCAACTATACACAAGACCTTGAAGTTGTCATTTTTCTCTCTCTCACTAAAAAGTGAAGCTAAAGTGACCTTTCCTTCCAGCAGTGGATTCTTTTTTTTTTTCTTTTTTTTTAAAGAAAGAGATCTAGAGAGAGAATGTGACCTTTACTTGACTTCCAGAATGTTCTTTAAGCCAGTGTTTTCAGTATGGGTTGCAACTCATTACTGGGTAATGAAGTCAATTTACTGTGTCCAGACCAACTTTTTTTTTTTTTTTTTTTTTTAAACAGAGGGAAAGAGAACAGACAAGAACATGAGAATAGAAAAGAGAGTACAGAGTCCACTGTACATGTAAGAGTAATAAGGAGTAAGGTCCAGTGCTATTTTATGAAACTTTTGTTTCAGTTATGTAAGTATGTATACATGTGGAATGTGTTGTTATATAAAAATTATTTCTTTTCTGGGTCAAAAAAGTCAGAAAGCCACTGCTGTGGGGCAGTTTGCCACTGAAGACTTGTCTCATTTTTTAGAAAAACCAATTCTATGGAGGCTGTATTTGATCAGACAGATTCTGTTTTTTTCCATGAAAGAAAACTGGGTCCTTTACTGCTGAGCCTATTTTGATGGGAAGGCTTCTGCTGCTGGCTTAACTGGCTGTGTTTTTGAGAGGTTCACTTGGGTAAGAGTCTATTGTCTCTCTCCTTTTTTGGTTTACTGCTTTCTGCTCTTTCTGCATAGACTCTGGAAGCCATTCTAGCTGTTGGGTCAATGGCAGAAGTTTCCACACAGCATAGAGACATCTGCAACATTCGGTTTTGTGATTGTTGTTCAAGTGTTAAGAAAATTATGGTTTCTTGGCCGGGCGCGGTGGCTCAAGCCTGTAATCCCAGCACTTTGGGAGGCCGAGGCGGGTGGATCACGAGGTCAAGAGATCGAGACCATCCTGGTCAACATGGTGAAACCCCGTCTCTACTAAAAATACAAAAAATTAGCTGGGCATGGTGGCGCGTGCCTGTAATCCCAGGTACTCAGGAGGCTGAGGCAGGAGAATTGCCTGAACCTAGGAGGCGGAGGTTGCGGTGAGCCGAGATCGCGCCATTGCACTCCAGCCTGGGTAACAAGAGTGAAACTCTGTCTCAAAAAAAAAAAAAAAAAAAAAAAAAAAAAGAAAATTATGGTTTCTGGCTGGGCGCAGTGGCTCATGCCTGTAATCCGAGAACTTTGGGAGGCCGAGGTGGCTGGATCACAAGGTCAAGAAATCAAGACCATCCTGGCCAACATGGTGAAACCCCATCTCTACTAAAAATATAAAAAAATTAGCTGGATGTGATGGCACGTGCCTGTAGTCCCAGCTATTAGGGAGGCTGAGGCAGGAGAATTGCTTGAAACTGGAAGGTAGAGGTTGCAGTGAGCCAAGATCACACCACTGCACTCCAGCCTGGTGATGGAGCAAGACTCCGTCTCAAAAAAATAAAAATAAAAAGAAAGAAAATTATGATTTCTGAAGAAAGTAAGACTTTCTAACCAACATGATATAACCAATTCTTTCCCTCCACTTCAATGGTAGCCCTTGTGTCAGGCTTCTTAATATAATTACAGAATTGGTATTTATTTCAGTATGTTGAATTTTAAATAATCACCTGAACCCCTAAATCTATCTAAATTTACTTGTGATTTTTAAGGCTTAGAATTGAGACAATGGTAGAAGAACCTTTCATTCCATTCCATTTCTCTAGAAGAGACTGCATTGTTGCCTTTTCTTCATTCTAAAATGAAGACATCTACTTTATGTATGCTTAGTACTGTTTTGTCATTTGTACTTTTCTTAATAATTTAAGAAAATTTTAGGCCAGTGTTTTTAATATGGGTTGCAACCCTTTATTGGGTCATGAAGTCAATTTATTGTGTACAGACCAACTTTTTTTTTAATGGAGAGAAAGACAATAGACAAGAACATAAGAACAGAAAAAAGAGTACAGTGTTCATTGCACATATAAGAGTAAGGAGGAGTAAGAGTCAAGTGCTATTTTATGAAACTTTTAGTGGTTTCATATTTTAGTGGGTTTTTGTGTTTTGGTTTTTGTTTTATCACTTAAAGTTACTCAAATATGTAACTTCATTTGCCAGCCATTAAGATGCATCCCAGTAGGATCAGTCTTGACATATGTGAACCTGACTGTATTTCAAAGTAATTGATTAATGTCAAGAAGTATTTATTGAGTGCCTGTTACCTGCTTGGCAAATAGGAGTGAGGTTCCAAATGAAGTGCTATAAGTAAAAGATGAGGCTGCTGCTTTTAAAAGGGTTTATCTTTCGTTTATCCCTTTAAACATTTACCAGGCACTTACTCAATCAGCCATATACAGTGCCAGATCCTCTGTTCAAGTGTAATTGGGAAGGTAAAACTTATATGAAACAACAAAAATAATTAATTGCCACATCTAATGATGTATATTCTAAATTCTGTAGGAGTTTAGGGTGAGAATGAGCAGAGTTGGCTGGGATAACTGGAGGACGGAGGAGATAGAGTTTCTGAATCTTGAAGCACTTTCAAGATTCAGATGGAAAGGATGGAGAATGTTCCAGACAGTGGGGAGATCTTGAAAAATGCTTAGAGGCAGGGAATACCACAGAGCATCAAGGAGGCATTTCTGAGTTGTGTGTTGAGGAACTGTGAAAAATCAGGTTGGATATGTTGGATGGGGCCATTTATTTTAAGATGGGTGATTGTAGAGTTACATAAACTAAAAAGGTGTCCAGTATCCTGTGGTACATACAGTCTACTTTGGGAGAAGGGAGGGATTATAAATAATTGATAAAGCTATATGGTGTGTATTATGATGGAAGCTGGTACTGTGCTGGAAGTATTATAAGCAAAAAGCTTGAGTGGCCATGTCAGTGGTAACCTTTGAGCTATATTAGTACTGCTCTGGCTTAGGGCTTGGCAACATCGCTGACTCAGTGACAAACTTCCTTTTTGGAAGGCCTGGCTCCTGACTTGCCAGCATATGACACTCCCAGTTCACCAGGTCATCCTGTCCCAAGCTGCCCCACTGATTGTGAAGCTACAAGACAGTCCTGGCCAGAAATCATCTCCACCTCTAGCCGGGGATCCCACCACATGGCTAGACAGGTTCCTGAATGGACTTGTCCTTCAGGACTGGGGCTTGGTTGGGGGTGTGTACATGTGCTTGCCTTCTACCCTGGGCTCACCAAATAATACTGTAAATGTCTTCAAAGCAATTATTAAAGGTGATTATTGCTATGATTTCATTTTTTGATTCTCCATTTATTTCACTTCTGTCTGCTTACATATTTACCTACTCAGTGTTTGTGGAGATGTATATCAGTCAGCTTTTACAGTCATATAACCCCAAAATCTGTTGCTTGTAACAGTCACACATTTGATTATTGCAGCTGAGGGTTAATGGTAGCCCTTGGTCAGTTTTCTCTCAGATTCATTCTTCCTTCTTTCTCCATCCAGGCTCCGGGGTCAGCTAGCTTCAGGCTGGATTCAGCTGATTAGAGAAACTAGCAGGAAGTGGTGCAAGAGGAGAAAGGGAGAAACTCGATATTTCTCTTTTTCCTTTCCTGCCTTGGGTGGCTTCTCCAGCAGAGACTGTTTCTCTCTGGCTTTAGTTCTCACTGGACAGGCCCCGCATGGTTCTTGTCACGTGACTCCAGGGCTTTAATTCCCACAACACCGTCTCCTCCTTTTGTCTCCCCGGCTTTGGTAGTGACTCCCTGCTGTTGTTAAACCTTTTACCATCCCCAATAGGACTTGCAGCAACTTAATGGCTTATATAGCCAGTTTCCTCTATTAAATTCCTTCTGTTGTAAATACAGTCATGCAACCACATAACAACATTTTGGTGAATGACGGATCACGTATACAATGGTGGTCCTGTAAGATGATGATGATGATTTGAGATGGAGTCTCACTCTGTTGCTCAGGCTGGAGTGTAGTGGCCCAATCTCGGCTCACTGCAACCTCTGCTTCCTGGGTTCAAGTGATTCTCCTGCCTCAGTCTCCCAAGTAACTGGGACCACAGGCATGTGCCATGACGCCTGGCTAATTTTTTTTTAAATATATTTTTAATAGAGATGGGGTTTTGCCATGTTAGGCAGGCTGGTCTTGAACTCCTGACTTCAAGTGATCCACCCACCTTGGCCTCCCAAAGTGTGGGATTACAGGTGTAAGCCACCATGTCCAGCCCCCATAAGATTATAATGGAGCTAAAACAGTTCTATTGCATAGTGACATCATAACCATTGTAACATTGTACTACAGTTACTTTATTTTTTAAATATAATTTTGGTGTAGCCTAAGTTTATAGTGTTTATAGAGTCTACAGTAGTGTACAGTAATTCACTCACCATTCACTCATTGATTCATTCAGAGCAACTTCCAGTCCTGCAAGCTCCTTTCATGGTAAATACCCTATACAGGTATACCACGTTTTGTCTTTTATGCCGTGTTTTTACTGTACCTTTTCTATGTTTAGACGTTTAAATACACAAATACTTACCATTGTGTTACAGTTGCCTACAGTGTTTAGTGCAGTAACATACTATATAGGTTTGTAGCCTAGGAGCAATAAATAGGCTATACCACGTAGTCTAGGTGTGTAGTACACACTATGATGTTTGCACAAAGATGAAGCCACCTAACAACGCATTTCTCAGAACCTTCCGGTTGTTAAGTGACACATGACTGTACTCGAAGTGATTTCTTTTTCTTCACTAGATCCTGACGGATACACTGTTCCAAAAAAGGAGTTTTTCTTTTGTCTTTTTTGTTGTTTTCTTCTATAGTGCGGCCTCGGATAGAGGAATAAAAAGAACCCATTTTATTACCCCACAAAATGTCTCCTAATGAAGCAGTGTGATATAACAGACAGGATATTGCATTTGGAATCACTGTCATTTATAGCACTGTAGTGCTGGGTAAGTCACTCTTTCTCTCTGTGGAGGTACTTATGATTCCTGTTATACCTACATCTTCAGGGTTGTCTGTGATGATCAAAACACGGAAATTCATTAGAAACCATCAGGCTTTATTCAAGTGATGCAGGGAGCCTCAATTATGTTACAGAACAGTCTACCAGCTGGCCATGTTTTATTTTATTTATGTTTATCATTTGCAGTTGTTTCCAACATAGTTTCTTTCTCATTATAAACTCAGAATTGGAAGAAGCAACTGTGATTCGATAGAGAAAAGTTATACAAAACATTCGTCTCAGGTTGGAAGATATTTATGTGTATTTAAAAGGTAGTCTTCAAATGGCCAAGTACATTTGACCACTGATAATACCCCAGGTATCCAAAATTTTTTAGTTCTTCCTAGCTTTACTGTAGAACCAAGAGCATGTTTCCTGGAGCAGCATGATTGTCACAGTCTCTGTCACATAGGCTAACATGGAATGGATTTCAGTCATATGAGTGGAAAATTACCTATTGCCCATCTTCTCAACATCTCTTATTTTGGACATTGCCTTGGGAGAGAGCTTCATTCTGATTCAAAACAGACCTACATAGATGGAGTCTTCTCTAGTTTGCCAGGATGATCAGATCTATTTCAGATTAATCTAGAAATGAGAATTTCCTAATAAAATGGCTATGCTAAGCATACTCAGAGACTCGAAGAACTAGTTCCCAATATATAGGTCTACCACAAATGGACCAATTTTCCTTTTGTGATCTCAGCATAATCTGGAGTTAGGTTCAGCTTTAAGGGATGTATTGGAAACAGATTCCTCCCAAATCTTCCATAATCTAAGCTAGTACCTCCTCCAGGGTGGACTCTAAAGGGTGACTCTCCTGTTAGCGTCACTCAAGACACAGAATTCTCATCCTTAGCTCAATGAGGGGAGATGAGATGTCAGAGATGGTCAGACATGGGTTGAAACCCTATCTCTGCCACTTTCTTATTGTTTTGTACAAGTTACTTAACCTCCTAGAGCTGCAGGTTCTTTGTCAGTGAAATGGGGGTTAGTGATGGCTATTTCCTATAGTTTTACCTGGCACGTGGTATGTACACGATAAATATAATATCATGTTTAACGTACTATCATCATGTTTATCAGACAAAGGACTTTGGAGTCAGGAATCAAGTCTATAGCTGCGCTACGGAAGTTTGCTGGTTTGCTGAGTCCCTTAGCTTTTGTTAATGTAACTTAACCATGATAGAGTTTTTAATAGTATCATTCCTTACAAATATGTTTGATAATTTTTATTTTCAGCTAGTCATCAAAGCTCTTACAATTCAGAGAGAATTTCAAACTTGACCAAGACTATAGTTTATTTACTGGAGTACTGGAGAGAATGTGAAAGTGATGGCATATTGAGTACTTTTAATTTTTTTTTACTGTCTTATATTTCAAGCCAAATTTGTTTCTAAACAACGTGAAAAGTTACTAGTACCACTTTTGACATTTGTGACAGACAAATGCCACTTGCTTACTCTTAGCCTTTTGGGAGATAAATATATACTTGCTTATGGACATGACAGAATTAAAACAGACAGTTTCAAATCTTAGGAAATCATGTTTTTTTGTCTTCATCTATTGTTAGTTTCTGCTACTGCAGGGTGAACCTTAGAATATTGTCTTTAACAAAGATACAAGCATGGAGTAGGATTTTCACATTATGAATTTTAATGACTACTAGCCTAGGAGCTCCTTGAGACTCATAACTTTTCATTGTTGTATTCCTCTGCCTAACACAGTGTCAGGCTCATGGAGGTGCCCACTATTTCTTTTTTTTTTTTCCTTGTTTAGCTCATTGGCAAGAATAATATTTTTTTCCTTCTCTCTTTCTTTTTCTTTTCTTTTTGAAAGAAGTCCTTTCTCTGTCACCCAGGCTGGAATGCAGTCACATGATCATAGCTCACTGTAACCTTGACTTCCTGGACTCAAGTGATCGTCCCGCCTCAGCCCCTTGAGTAGCTGCGACTACAGGCACTTGCCACCATGCCCAGCTAATTTTTGTATTGTTTGTAGAGACAGGATTTTGCCATGTTCCGAGGCTGGTCTTGAACTCCTGGGCTCAAGTGATCCTCTCGCTTATGCCTCCCAAAGTGCTGGGATTACAGGTGTGAGCCACTGTGCCCAGCTACTCCTTCCTTGTCAAGTTAAATCTTGAAATTTGTCCAATTTGATTTTCACTAAATTGGACTTACATTTGACTAAGGTAAACCTTACTGTACTTGTCATGTGTGGTTGAGCACTCTAGCCATATCTGTTAACATAGCTAGAATGAAGCAGCCTCCATCAGTTTTC